AAACCCTGCAGATGCAGCATGATCCAAGGATGACTCAGTATTGCCACCTGAAGTTCTGGACATTGGCTTCTAAGGTTAAATCAACACTGTTTCCACCTAATGAGGACTTCTGTATTGCTATAGATCTGTGGCTGCATGTGTTTTGGCATAATGACCCCACCTCTGTATGGTTTTAAGCTCTACACATTCCTTAGTATCAAGCTGGGTAGGACTACATGCACACATCACATGAAGCCAAACCATGGCCTTTAGGCTATTCATGGCTCAGGACAGATCCACTGTATTGGTTGTGTGACTGTATGAAGTACTCGAGCCTGTACTTACATGTCTGCCTGGGGAGGATCCAGTGCAGTTTGAAAGTCTCTATGGAAAAAGTCCCATCTTGTTTTTCAAGCCTATGAATGCTCATAGCCCAGAAGCAGGGCTTGAGTTCAGTGTTTCTCACCATGAGCTCAGGATAGATGGCATTCACGTTTGCAGAGATCTCTTCATTTTAAAGCCCTACATTAGCTGAGCAACAGATTTTACTTGTGAAGATTTTTCTTATTCATTTTACATGCTAGGATATGTAAATGCCAAAATATATACAAATGTTCACGTGTTTGCCTTTTCCTCTTTGCAGAATCACTCTGCCTCTATGACTGAAGTAACCTGAGATGGAAGACTGGCAACTGAAGCTATTTTTTATTACCCTCCAGTACAATACTCCCAAGACACAGTTACTACATGTCTTAACTGTGATGACCAGTATTATGTCATGTCTAGTTAGAAGCTAATGTTTTGTACTTTTTTTGTATGAGGAAGTGATGTAGCTTGCCCTGATTTTTGTCAGCTTTAATATTATTATGCCAGAATTTAAAAGCAAAACAGAAAAAGAACAAAAAAAACCTTTTCTTGTTTGAAGTGTGCACTGAGGAACTACATCTATGGAATTGTTGATGTTGTTATGTGATATTTGTACACAATTTTTTTTCATTTTTGAATTTATATATATTGGGAAAAAAAAATCACTTTTACCTTTTCTTACCATAAGAAGTGCTTCTACCGGTGGGTCAGATTCTGATCTGAGTACGCTCAGCATAGATCTGAAGTATTTGCATATATTTAATTCAGATTAAAATACTGGTGATCAGAAATCTAACCTGGATGATACTATCAACAAGTAATAAACATCCATTCTTGATTCAGTGAGCTACTTAAGCATTCCTGAGCATTATGGACTTCAGTTAGCCATCCAGCTTCCAGACTAGTTGGCAGACTTGAAGTATGTCCTTAAGCATCTTACTGAATCAAAGCCTGATTGTTCTGGTGTGGGTGATTGTGCTAGTTATTGAAGAATAACTAAAACAACGTCCTCAGTCTGCAATATAGACAGACTGGACACGAAAACTTATAGTAGTAGCTGATAGCATGTGAGCTGACTATATCATCTCCCTAGATCTCCATTCCTCCTCTAGGCCCAGCTAAAGCTCCCAGTGAAACCTGGCTTCAGGAATTGACTATGGGGATATACAGCCACCACTGTGGAGCTGAGGCTGTGCTTTGTGCTTTAAGTGTTTCATAACTTCATCAAAGATTTGTGGGGTAACTAGTAACACTGGTGCAAAGGAAAAGTGACACCACTTCTCCAGTGGAGTGGCATTACTTGGCATTCAGACTGGCATCACCGAGAAGCCAGTTTTGCCCCAGCAGTGTAGTTTTCACTGAGGGGCATTGGCAAGTGAAAAACAAAACAAAACAAAACAAACCCACAAAACCCCCCTGTCATGATCTGTAGTAGCAGTCTGTATTTTTGTAAATTCTGCAATATAGAATTTATATCAAAACTGCTATTTTACAGTTTTAACAACTTTAAGAAAAAAAAGACAATGAAGTGTGGATTGGGGGTGGGGGAAAACCAGAAAAGAACCCATTTCCAATGGCTAGAACTGGGGCAAAGGCTTCATTACATGACTTTTCACTGTTTCTAGGATTTTCTTGCATCTCATTCTTCTAGCATGGTGATAATTGCTGTGTGTCTCCTTTAAATAATGGAGCCTCTGTCTGTACTTTTACTGGAATGTTTACCTCACATTTCCATGTTGGTTCTTCTTGGCTTTTTTTTGTATATTTTTTCCAGAACAGATGCAAAAAAAAATTAACAAAAAAACAAAACATGTCGTCTGGTCTCTGTCATTTTCCTGTAACACAAAAAAAAATGTGAGATGCCTGTTTGTGCCTGGTCTTGCAGTGTTTCCTCCAGGTTGGTATTTTCTTCTGACTTCACTGATGTCTGCTTCAGGCTTAGGAATCTAAGGATCAGACTTGGGCTAAGCAGGCTTTTTGTGAGCATGAGGAATCATCAATAGTGTTCTGGGTCCCTCACTACAACTGTGACCCAAATTCTACAGGGAAAAGTTCTGGATGACTGGTTAGATGAAGCTAGATCTATCACACATACTCACTGCCTCTCCCCGTGGCTAGCTACCAATGTTTTGCTACCATTTTGGATTTATAGGACCCTCAGCCTTTTCTGGTTGACAGATAACCCCCTGCACAGGATGTCTAAACCTAAGAACACATTTGCTTTTCCCAGGTACCTTTCCCCTCAGGAGCAACATATGTCCACCTTCTGGTATCTGTGACGCAGTGAAAAACCAGTCTTTATGTAGCCTTTGGATTATTATCCATCCTTCACAGCTGCATGGCTGTGGACTCTCTCTGCACCCCAGCTAACTCCCATCTGACAGGGAAGTGCATGCCCCTGCAGAGCTGCTGTTCTTGATCGTCCCACTGTGCAGATTTTGCCCCTAGGCTGTGCAAAGGAATGCAACTCTTGGAATCCGGAAAACCACCCGCCCCTGTCTTAATCAACTAGCTGAACGGAGGGAAAACGGCTGCATCTCATGGAAGCCAAAAGTTAGCATTAGAAATAAAATGTTCACCCTCCCCCAAACTTGTCTGACGCCCCCAGAGGCTGGCAGATGTGGCGGTGAAGGGCAGCCTCCTCAGCTGGTTGTACACGTGCAGAAGCCTCTTTGTTGTTGACGGCAGCTTTCTCTCATTCATGGAGACGCCAGTCCACCCAGTCCAGCACTTAGTCTGTTAAGAAATGCTGTCCTAAGCTTCTTTACACTTTTGATCTTCTCTACTGGTTCTGCCTAAAACAGATGAAGATCAGCCCTCCCACAAAATGCATGGGTGGGACTTTTAATTTATTTATAATTGAATTCAACAGAAACTAGGTACTTTCAAATGCCCAAGGGTCAAAAAAAAACTGTTTTAACACCTAGAAGTCGTAGCCCTTCCATGGCACAGGTGTTCTCTCCAAGACTTTGATCTCATTTCAGACTTCTGCTTTTTCAGCTTCTTACAAGCAGCTAAAAGTTTTGCATCTCAAATGCCCATGTCTGATCTTGCCTTATACTTTAGTCCCTGCAGCTTCTTGCACAGGTGTGCTGACAGAAGCGTGAGGTTTGCACCTCAGAGGGACTAAGTGTCTGAGATCAGGGAAATGGCAGCTTGACTCAACTCAGGCACAGCCAAACACAGGACAAGGCAGCTGTCATGCTCCTTTCTTGTCTATCTTCTATTTTTCAGTCCTTTTTTTCACTCTTCTGATAAAATTACATGAGCTACAAAATTACATACTGGTAGAGCCACAGAATGGGGGAGATAAGCAGAAAGTGCAACTACCACTGAAAGTGGTTTTGTAGATAATGAGTACTAAGAGGAAACAAAGGGGTCTAAGTATCTCTCCTTTGATGGAAAGACGACATAATTTCATTAAAAAATACTTCCAATTCATTGCTCCCAAGCAGCCTCTAAAGCAGGCAAGATAAGCTACAGAGACGGGATTTGTGAACAGCCAGCCTTCCCACAGTGACCAGTGAAACGTCCCCAGTTCCCTCATGTTCACCCCACAATGGAACATGTAGTAGTACACTTAAGCTATTCTCTTAATTCCCCAGGAGTCAAAAGAAGAACAGGTTTCTTAAATTTCTTCAAAGCTTCTAGTGCTAGAAGCAGCACTTGAGAAGTTTGCTGAATAAAGAAACTCAGCACTGTAACACAGAAACACAGCAGTTCCTAAGTGTACTTCAGACATTTGTATGTTAAAAGCAGCCAGGGGAGCTAGGATTCAGGAGAACAAGTGGTATAACCAGGGTATTTCTGTATCATTCCCAAAAATATCACACATACACAACACGTTGTAAACAAACTTTTGTAGGAAACATTCACAAAGTACCACACATTTCTCAGACTGTTGCATTTATTTTTTTGCCCTTCTGACTTCACTGCTTGCCTCCTCTGATTAAAAGCAAACCTACACCATTACATGGACAGAAAAACATACAGCCATGTTTTACCATAGCTACAAACCCCCTAATAGCTAACCTGTAAGAAAAACTAGCTAATAGCTATTAGGAGCAACAGAATGTATAAATATAAAAATTGAGTCCTCTGACAGAAATGGAAAAATTCTACAAGCTATGTTGATGGCAGCTGTTTTTATAGGGCTGTTGGAGAGTTCACCATTACAGTTAAAGAGATTTCAGAATTCCTATTGGCACTATCTTCATGCAGCAATTTTGAGGAGAACATGCATTTTTATTTTAGGATGGCACCTATGATGGCTTTCAAAAGTGCTATTGCCAACAGGGTCTTCTTTTCAATCCCAAGGGAAAAAAAAAATAAATGTTGGCTTACCATCCCCCTCCTTCCCTAAGAGTTTGCTGGCTTGCTAGCCTTGGTGGTCAGCTTGAACAGGGCACTTGACAAAGCCAAACTTCACTCGCTAAAGCCCATTACACAGCCCAGAAGGAAAGACGAGAAGAGATGCTGGGAAGAAACTGGGGAGTTGGTCCCCTCATTTATACCCATTGGACCCAGTAACTGTTGGGCAGCACAGTAAAGGCCAGAAAGCATACATGAGTGCCACCACTGACTACATGGTATCACTGTTTCACAAGGAGGACTTTTTTTTCTGTGATTCTATATAAAAACCAGAAACAATGAAACCCAAGAACAACTAAGAGAACTTTTATTAGTGATATTCCTATATTCGGTTGCTACCACAATGAAAGGGCTCTGCTTCTGCTCTGCAGTCCTGCCTCAGGAACACAAGCAAAGCAAAGGGATGCCTTGTGGTGCGACTCACTTCTCCCAGGTAATCTTCATGTTTGGGGGTAGCTCTGCAGCACACAGTTCATCAAACTTGGACACATCCTTCACAGGAGTGCTGTAGAAATTCAAGACATCCCCAGCACTACACATCAGGTGGAGCTGTGAATTGGGGATAGCATGACCAAGTTCTGCTGCCAGCTGAGCAAGGAGGCGATACTTTAACCTATTTTCTTTGAGGGGTGTCTGCTGCCAATTATCAGGCAGTGAAGATCCAAAAATCTCCCTGATGTGAGACTCAAGGCAGCTCTGTATATCTGCTGGAGGAAGATAGCTTCTGCTGCGTGGTGGGGGACAGATCAGGCTGGGTTCACTTTTCTCTTCATGAATTATTTTCTCTGCTTCCACTTCTTTTTCCTTCTTCCTGTTGACACCAGACAGAAGTATTTTCAGTCTCTGGGCTACTTAAGACTGAGTCAGAGCACGTTTCTATACATAGCCTTTTAGTATCAGACTCAACCTGGCCTGCAGACAGTTTATGCATCCTGTGGACAGAGCAGGTTTGTTATGCATGCACAAACAAAAGCGCACATGCTAAATGTTTGGTTTTGCCCCAAATGCTGCTCACTACATAGGCTGTCTCTATACAGCAATCACCAGCCCAGATTATTTCACTGGTCTGAGTGGAAACAGAATTTTAACCAGATTTATGACTTGTTTTTCCCAGTTACAGCTCGATTTTCGAATTTGCTGTGAAAAAGAAAGACTAACAAAAAATAACCACTACTATGGAAAAAAATTAGTGCTCACATTAAAAAAAAAAAAAGACTAGTTTTAACTAGAAAATTGAAGACTACCTCAAACTGACTTGCTGATATGCCACAATCAACAAGCATGGTTCCCCTAAAAAGTTATACAGAAACGATGGCTGTTCATTGCCACTGTAATACTGCCCTGAAACACCTTTTTTTTTCCACACCGAGAAAGATCGTTTACCACAACAGCAACAGCATTAAAAAAAACTAACTCCGCAGGGTCACACCCGCCCGCTGCCGGGGCACCCTCCTCGGCAGGGACGCGATGAGGGCGCTCGCCGCACGCCCCGAGGCCTGCGGCCCAACGCGCTCTGGGGCACGAACACCGAGCCCTGACGGCGGCGGGTCTGAATGACCCGGCCGCAGGCCCAGCCCGGGGAGGCAGCGGGGAGAGGCACAAAAGCCGCCAGCGCCCGCCCCCGGGAGCCGCTCCC